TGCGGCATGACGGGTCACCCCCCAAAACATGTCGCATGGAGTGCTCACCGCGGTGAGTGGAATGTCGCTCTCGCACATCAGGATCTGGTAGTATCCGTCTACGAAACTAAGCGCACAGTACAGTACACTTCCGGCCATGTTGTTCAACAACACATCCTTCCGTAGGACTGGTGTCTGGACCGGCACCGCCGCGTTGTTCAGCTTGTTAAAAGCGTGAATTAGACGCCACTTCCGACTTGGCAGAAAATTGACGTCGAGTGCGGGGACTATTACTCCCACACCATGCGTGCCTTCGCTTTCGCAGCGAAGAAAGTATCGATGACCTCGCACTGTTCGCGTGGAAGAGGCCATTGTCTCGAGACACAGTACTTTGTGCCAGACACGAGATCGATCTCATGCTGGATGCCTCGATCCGGTAGGAGTTGGGATGGTGGGTGCTTGCTCACCACGTCCGCATACTCCGCCACCAAAGGATACACCGAATCCTTGGGGTTCTTAAGGATTCCAGAGTCCAAGCGGGTCTGATGCTGCTTGCTCAGCTATTCTAGGACGTCCTTGTTCAAGACAGAGGAGGTGTTTAACTCCCCTTGAGTGGCATTTGGTCTTATGAGCACCACCTCGGCAATCTCCTCAGCCGGCCAGGAGAGACTCGGTCATCGTTTTCTTGAGGTCCCGTATCTCTACAACCTCTGGCAACGGTTCTAAGTGGACACCAGATGCCTTGACGAGTATAACGGGCTCACCATCGAAGATGTGATAACACTCTTCCACCGGCTGTGCCGGAGGTGCTCGGGACCTGAACTCCGAGTCGCTTGAAGCGACGTCGATCTGAACGAGATTCGGATCCGACTTTCGGTGGCGTCGTCGTCGTCGACGGCGACCGTGACAAACTTCGCCACCCACGTCTGGGGATGTCATGATGCCGACATTCGAGGCACTCAAGGCCTCGTGTGGTGCAATGTTACCTACACAGGAAGCGCAAGTCGCGTTTTCCTCTTCAGTTATGGTCTGGGCAACCTCGTGTGGCACTGTGTTACCCACGCAGGAAGTGTATCCGACGTCTTCCTCTTCCGTTAAGGTCTGGGACTGGAACCCTTTATCCACCTTGGACACGCTACTACCAGCGTTCGTGACAGCTGCAGCTGTCTGCGGAACTATGTTACCCACTTGTGGACCTAAGATACCCACTTGGCCAGCTTAGTGCCGCCGCCATCGAAGCTTCCTCGGCGTCGTCATATACGTCGACGACTCCCAAGCACCTGCCGGATGCTTCAGTTCCCTGGAAGCTCCTGCGGGCGCCCCGGGTTCTGACAGAGGTGGGAACATAACTCATCAATGCTCTGTCGGGCTTCACAGGGCGACAGCACCGATTGCCTTGCCTCGCCAGTCGATCCAGGGCTCGTGCCTCTCGAGCCAGAGCATATACCCACGTTCAAATCGAAGAAATTCATGTCGAGAACAGTAAACTGTTCTGGGCTGTCGAAGTCTCTAAACTTGACGGCACGATCAATTTGGATGTTGGGGACAGTGACGACCTTCCCGTCGACCAGTCGCACTGACAGTGCCCCGTTGCATTTGCTCTCTCTCAGAACATCGGACAACTTGTTGCTAATATGGGCAACCGTCTAGCGGCGTGCGAAGCTCTTCGACGACCCAGAATCGATCAAGATTATATAGGGGTGCTCGTGCTCCCAAACACATCCGTGTACTACAAGCAGCCCGTCGCTGCTCTTCACTGATTCGAGAGTGCGAAGACTCTCAGCGGATAAGTCCCCGTGGCACGCGCCACCCGCGCACCTCTCACACAGACTTAGTTCCTCCTTAGTAGAGCGCCCCGTCCCCTTTGGTCTTCGGGGCTCCCCTGTCCCCGGGATCCTTGCTTCTGCCAGCGACCCTTGAGGACGGACTTGGGGAAAGTCCACCTGCAGTGTCTCTCCGCGGGACAGTCACGCTTGAAGTGGCCCAGCTTCCCGCAGCCAAAGCATCGAGTGTCGCGCTGCTCAAGATCAGAGCTGCGTAGCCAATACGGCCGAAGGTATGAAAGGAAGGAAGGGGAGAACCTTCACTCGAGCCCAGAAGTGAAGGTTCTTACCTTCCTTCCCTTCATACCTTCAGCCGTATTGGCTTCGGGTGTGGCGAACTTGTTTCCGCCGCCGGAGCCTGTAGGTTTACCCGCACATGTGCCATGAGCCCTCGCTCGTAGGCGTCAAACGCATTGACACACTCGAGCTGCCCCGCCGGTGTTAATGCCACCAGGCTCTGCACGGCCTCCATCCCGAAGATGCCAGCCATCTTCCGAAGCGACTCGATATGTGAGCCGTTCAGATGGGAGAAGTCGCTCCTATCCATGGCGACAAACTTCAGAGAGGTTCAGGTAGTCTACCCGCGTTGGCGTGGATTGACTACAGGTGCTACCTAGTGCGACGGGGTCACTCAGCACCTTTTTGTTTATTTGTTATGGAACATGGTTGTCACTTAGTTACACTAACGACATCCTATGACCTCGTCGGCGGCCGTCTCAATCCATCCACCCTGCCTTATGACCCAAGGCCACAAGGATGCCCCATCACCTTACAGTGATGAGGCCACGGATTTCGAAAACTTCTCATGTCTCACTCAGCACCTTGCGCTAGAGGTAGTCGGCTTCCGAGAATTTACAAACTCTCAGTGAACAGTAGTTCACATTTCCCTTTTGCCTTAGGAAGCAAAGTGACCAATTTAAGGAAAGTTGCAAACTGAATGCATTTATAGGTAGGCTAAGCTTGAGCTAAATACACAAACTATAAGTCACCTAATAGTAAATCATTGTCATCAGCCAATGGTTGGCATCTGACGACCCTGGTACCATGTACCATGTATCCCGAAGTTTTGATGTATCACACTTCATGCAACAAGGGGTACATATGGGGCTACGTACCCCGTTACATCGTCGCGAAAGTGTGGCTGTGAGCGATGGTTGAAAATAACAAACTTTTTATAAAATATTACCTTCTTTAACAGATGAAATTATTCTAGAGGTGGCCCGCACAGCGCAAAAGGAGCGACACAACACTTTAAATAAATAAAAATATGTTTTGCTATGGGTGCTGTATGCGCACCATTACATGTACAAGCGTAAAAAAATCAAATAGGCGGAAAATATTTCATAAACGCTCAAGATTCCTCGAAATGATGAGGGCTCGATAATTTTTTTGGGCGACCACAACTTCTCATTCTGTAGCGTATAAGTGTTCAAGAGATACAGGAGACGCCTCGCTTTCGCTTAGAGTGCTTACTGTTAAATCGTGATTCGTACTTAGGCTCGTTTGAATAATTCTGCTCGACGCTGTCTTGTTAAGTGAAGTAAATTCTATCGTATCGCACAAAACAAGTCTATTTAGCAGGCTCGCCCGATTGATTCACCGTTCGATATAGATCCCACAATATCGTACTACACCTTTGCCAGGTCAAGATGGTGCTACCCCACATCAAAACGGGTTTTAAAAAATGCGAAAACAAAAATTTGCTTAGGAAAAAGTAACACTAAAAAGAAAATTCAAAGTGGTGAAAACGCAGAGCAAAGTGGTCCTCTGCATGTCCTTTATGCGCTCCGCGGCAGCAGCGGCATGCTGGCTATGCAGTGGCATCCTGCTAACAAGGCGCAAGTCGATCCATCCGATGCGGCGTCTCGCCGCGTGCTCAAGTATTTCTATCCGAGCAGCCGTAACCGTCCCGCGAGGACGCTCCACAACCAGCTCTTCACGGGACAAGGCAAGGTCGGCCTTGATCTTGGCCTTGAAAAGTCTGAAAACCCTGTAGTACTAGCTAAAAAGTCGATTAGTTGAACATTTAAAATATATATTGTAATACAGTATATTGCGTACCTTCAATGGGGTTACACATTGGAGAGTATGGAGCTAGTCGTAGAAGTACGAAATCGGCTCTTTCAGCGACGCGTGCTTCCGTTTGGTTATGGGCAGGGGCGTTGTCGAGAGCGACAACGATTTTCTTGCCCTGGAAGTGCTCTTGAAAGATTGGCGAGGACTTGTCTTTATTGTAGATTTTCTCAGCGAAAGCAGCGTCAGCATCCATGCAGATGCTGCCCCTTTGTAACCTATAATTCACCAGCCCTAAATCCGTTGAAACGGCGCACTGTACTTGCGGGTTAGCACCCCTGGATGGCGGTTAGACGACCGTCGCCCGCTCGCCCCTTCTGGCACGCCCTTGGCTACGTTAGCAATACACGCTATAATTTGTATCATCGTAAAATACGACGAGGTTTCCTGCATTCATGTGCTCGCCCACGCCGAAGTCGAATTGCACCATGTCTCATATTGCACTGAGAGTGTAGGTGCAATTTCCTTCGAGGTACTCCTCGAGTGCCGCCTCGATCTCCGGAGTGCTTTTTAAGTTGGACGGACGGGCTCCTCCGCGCGGGAGCAGCTCCACCCGTCCTACTTCCACAATTTGACGTGCTGTGGTGGCGGGGATGCCGTTGTGGGCGGCCAGAAGCATCCAGTCACCGCCGGCGCGGTGGCTGTCGAGGACACGAGCTCTGGAAAATGCAGGGTGCGGGGCTCCGGGTATCATGGGGTAGGTGGAGGCTTGGCTTGGTTGGGGGCTTGGGAGAAGATTGATAAGTGAGGGCGAGGAATGGCAATGAAGTGCTCGCGGGCACGGGGGCTGATCCGCTTTGAGCTGCGAATAAACACTTTGAAGTTCGGAGTGCGTTTACTCAACAAATTTGTGAAGTGGCATAAATTCTAATGTAAAAAGCTGAAAATAATTTTCGAAATGTTTTGGTTACTTTACAACCTTGAAGTGGAGTAGCACCATCTTGACCGGTATTACCGGTAATAGTAGTACATGTACATAAATTAATATCAAATAATTTAAACAAAAATTATAAAAGCAGAATAAAACCTATAGCTCATTTAAGTTTTGTAATCTAAAGTCGCTAAAATGTGAGTCAAATAATGGTAGAGCAATTTAAGCGAAGTATTTTACACAAACAATACTCACTACAACTCCTTAGCTGCCGCAGCAATGGCTGGGTGCGCCAACACTTGGTCTGCCGACAGTCTACGACGTGGGTTCTTTACGAGCAGTCCGCGGATCAATTCCTTGGTCTCTGCAGGGACGTCATGCCACACAGGCAATAGGAAAGACACCGATTCGTCCTTAATACGTCGAATAATTTCGTCTTCGGCAGAGCAGCCCGTGAGGTCGAACGGGTGGCGGCCTGAAATGAGGATGTACAGGATGCACCCGAGCGCCCACATATCCATGGCGGTCGTCATGTCATGACGCTGAAGGACCTCTGGAGGCCAATAGCAACGAGTCCCCGACAGAGTCGTGCGCGCCTTGTCCGCAGATTCCGGCTGCGATGCCCGTCCAGCACACCCAAAGTCAATAATTTTGAGTGTGACGTGTTCATTTGGCTTGCCACGACGTGTACCGTTATCGTTGACGAGTGTCATAATGTTTTCAGGCTTGAGATCGCGGTGGATAATATCCTGTTGATGCATGAACAGTAGTGCACTGGCCAACTGAGCCACGAGTTGCAGTGACCATGTAGCATTTAGTGTGCGATGTCTCTCCATAAACGAATGGAGCGAGGTGCCAGACACGTATTCCAGCACAATATAATGGAAATCGTTATGGAAGTAGGACCCTTCGTAGCCCACGACACTTGCGTGACCACCAGCACGTTCCAGACGCTCTAGCGCCGTTTTTTCGCGCTCCACCTCCTCTCGGTTCCCTGCAATCTCCTGCACCATCTTCACTGCTGCCACGCGTCCAGTTTGCTTGTGAACGCACTGCATCACAACGCCAAAAGTGCCACAGCCAAGCAACTTCTTCGGTTCGTACTCGGCGTCGAAGTAGACCGACATATTGTCGCTATTGCCGTGGCTGGCACACAAGTTGCAGTTGCCTCGTCGGACTACCGAGTCGTCGTCTGAACTCGCATCTTCTAGCATTTCACACATCGTATTCCTAGTTGCAAGAGCTGTGATGGCAGCTACAGCTGCGACCACTGCTAGTTTGTTGCTAGCGCTCTCCTCTCCTGCCGCGTGGCGCCAGTGATGTGCACAAATTCGGGTGGCAGTTCCTGCATTGCCATTTTTCGCTGATAGTCTCGGGTTCACCTCCAAGTGCAGTGCATTGCGAGCCAGCAGTTGCCCGTGTCTGTTGTTGCCACTCACTCTCAGAGCACGTCGGATGCCAAACGCAGCGTGTAACATTTCCTGTTGTTGCGTCTCTTCGTCCAAATTAAAAATGGCGTCACTTTTGTTGTGTTCTGTCTATCAGTGGCGTCGCTTCTCTTTTGCTTCTCTCTCTCTCTTCTTCCGATTCTGCGTCTGCTCGAATTCACTCCCCATCAACTTTTGAAATTGTGCTTGTAATCCGAAATCGCCTTTGTACCGCGTCCCCTTTTCCAGCAGCCGTAACGGCTGGATGTAAGAAAACCACTTGGGAGTTGCACCCTGTCGCGGCAACTGGTCATCCAAAAAATATGGCGACGGATGCAGCGCTCCCGTTTCAGATTGGTGCTTTTCGACCTTTTCTCTCTGAAATCTAAAGACCGGCGTTACCATTTTCTCGGTGACAACTGTGATGGACACACGGGTACGTATATACATGTACTTGTATACATGTACGATGGAGAATCTTGACGAAATCGTTTATGCATAGAAACGGGACTTTACGGTACGACCAGCGTCACTTTTTTTAGGGAATCATCCGTCTAATGGCGGACGACGCCGAGCTGCGTGTTCGCTCCGCCAAGCTCGAGGGCTTCCCGCCGTTTCCAACTTGGAATGGTACAATCGCTGCACCGCTCGAAGACACGCGCGGACTCTGCAGCGTGCTGGGCGCGGATGGAGAGCTGGTGGTGCTGCAAAATAGCATGAGCGACGAAGACAGTGACAGCTGGTTGCGCATCCTGAAAGTGCTGCCTGCTGCGGTGGAGAAGCCTTTGAGCTTCTGCCAGTGCTGGACAAACGATGGAGCGGTGATTGCCACAGCGCACGATCGGAGCGTGGTGCTCTACAGTAGTGATGACTTCAAGGCTCTGGTGAGACTGCAGCTGCGATACTCCGTGACGTCAATGGACATCATCAAGAGATCCGGGACTACGACGAGACTTGACGACGCGTCGGAGTTTCTACTGATAGTGGGCACTTCCTTTGGCTGTCTGCTGTATAAAACACTGCTGTGCAATGCAGAGAATGGTCGCAATAGCGCTGAGGATACGCCAGTTGCAAGAGTGCACGATAGGATTCCTGTGTGCTTGGTCAAGTTCTCTAGCGATGGCCACACAGCAGCCATAGGTACCATGGATGGTAGACTGTTCTTGAGGAGGCTGTATACCCATGAGGATGACGTGCTAGCAACTTTTGGGACCAGCGTATTTACCAGAGTGCTCACAGCTCCACGGGTCACAAGCTTGAGCTTCTCTGTCTGCAACACAAGGCTCGCAGTGGCAACGAGGAAGGGCAACGTCTACGTATTTGCCTGCACATCGGAAGCAGGCGAATGGCAAGTATTGTCAAGTTGCAAGGAACTCAGTGGCAACCCCAAGCCTAAAGTAGGTGGCGCTGGTGTTAATAGGGCAGCCACTGCGGCCCAGACGCTGGTGGTCTGGTGGGGGCCTGTGCTCGTGGTGTGCTCGCGTGTCGTTGCGTCACGGATAGAAATGTACGACTTTGAATCGGGTTGCCTGCTCCACTCACTACAGCATGAGCCAGCACCGGCAAATGGTGCGTTGAACCGGTGGGTGGACCAGCAACTGGTCACGGGAATTTGCACTATGCAACACGTTCCAGTCGGTGGATACTCGTCAAGGCTGCTTTGTCACGACACCATCGCCAATGTTGCCGTGGTAGAATGGCCATTCCTGCACGGTATCGAGCTTGAAGGACGTTCGTTACCTCAGGTGACTTACCTCAGGTAAGTTACCTGACCCGTCGGAAGATACTGTACCCATGCCAATAGGTTCATTGGTGCACCCAGTACATCCCGCACCACCAACTCTTACAGGTTAAGCCAGCCATACATGTAACGCGAGGTGTGCCCTGCCGCGCTCATGCAGTTTCGGTGTAGACGCCTTGATGTGTCATCTGATCGGGAGCGTGCTGTCGAATCGACAGTGTCGATAGAATGGGGCATCATCACCATTCGCTAGTGCCACACAATCATGGATTTTTCTAGCTAATGATGATTTCTGCATCATTTCAGCTAATCGTTGCTATATCAAACAAAATTTAGGGCCAATCCACATCTTCTTTGCGTCCTTTTACTTGCGACACCCGCCTCATGGAGCCCTTTACTTAAGTATTCCTCATGGAGACCACGAAGCGTCCCGCACTGCAGCTGCTGGTGGGCGGTGTGGCATTATGCTCTCTCGGTGCTCTTCCGCTACTGGAAGTCGGCTACGTAGTTCGACAGGCTCGTGCGTCCCCAGAGAAGATGCAAGTGCTGCAGACACTTACAGCGGTGGATAAGTTGGCCATCACGCTTGGCGCCTTGTTGGCTGCTCTCGGCGGAGCTCTTCTCGCTCTCCATTGGGTAGAAATGCCCGTCACTCTAGCGCTAAAAACTGCAAAAATAGTGGCTACCGCACTCGCTGTCGCAGCGCTGGTGGACGCTGCGTTGTTGACCTCCATAGCGTCACACAGAGGACCGGATACACCCTGGACGGCCGACACGTACGCGGACCACGAAGGACTCTTCGAACAGCAAGTAAACGACGTCTTTTGTCACGCTAAAGGACTGCAAGTCTGCGAGCTCGGCAGCGTAGCAGAGGCCCGACAGATCTTCCCACTGCATAATTGGCCTGTGGATTCGGATCGTGCCCCGGGCAGACGAATTGCCACGAGTTGCGAAGGTTTTAAGGACGATGTGCAACTCTGGGACTATCAGAACAAGATGCAGCTGTGCAAGCTCTGTGGAAACATCACAGCAGAAGGAGAAGAACTCCAAGTAAAGTTCGGAGCGGATCATATCGCAGAGGTATTGGCGGCCGTGGAGCTACTGAGCTTCGGAGAGTTGCAATGGTGTGGAGAGTACTTGGCAGAGAGAAGATCTGATCACGATGTGGGCCACTCGCCGTATTGGAAACATCGAAGGGAGTTTCAGACTCTATTGGAGTTAGATACTCCGCCTTGTAGTTTATTTTTTGCGGTTAGAGCTTTGCAGCTGCTGGAAGTGGCTGCTAGCTTGTGCTGCTTCATACTGGCGCGGTGGATCTGGACGCTGCAGACGTTGAAGTTGGTACAGTTAAAAGACGGAAAGATGGAAACAGTGTAAGTAGATAGGAGGAACGGATGTAAATAGGCCCGAAGATACGCGCATTTTGCCGATGTATCTCGAGCCATATAGCCAAATGAATGTATTTATGAAAAGTTTGTTAGCTACACTGCGTTGATTGTTCAGGCGGTTTACAGTTGATCAAAAAATATTTTGGAAAAACTAATCAGTGGATTCACGACTGACAAGAAGTTTTCAAGCAGGTGGCTAATATATACAGTAGTCGGATATGTGTTTAACATAAAGGACACCAGAGCAGATTGTTGTAAATAAAAAGTCTTCGTAATATAGTTTACTGAAGATAACTGAGCAAACAATAGCAGCTCTCAAGTCTATCAACTTTCTCACCAACTCTACAGACTTCCTCAATGAGTAGACCCATCTAGAAAAAAATTAGTCTCCACCAGCGTCATTCATCAAAATAAGTAGAGGGCGAACATAAGAGAGAAAACAAATGTGATATAGCTGCGAGGGATACGTGGCTACCGAAGACGCTGGCAGCGGCGTGGGGGTTGTCCGTTTGCAGCAGGAGGGGTAGCTTGAGCCCTTTCTTGCGTGATGGCCTTACCCGTCTTATTTGAATGGCCGACTACCACACGACGTCAAAGAGGTCGAACTGAACGGGATGACATGAAACCATCATGTAGATTAGCGCCCAGTGGGAGCCCCAACAAGCGTCAAGCGTTAAGCTCCAGGGCAGAATTGATCACAATAGTCGTCGGCTGCATGCGAGGATCTTCAAACTCTTCATTGTCGATGGATACTCGCAGACGCTGATACCCGCGCTGATAGGAATGCAGAGAATGTATTGCACGCCCGGACATTGTCTCCACGCATCGACAGCCACCACGTGTTTGCCAGGTTTGGGTAATCCCAGTCTCCACTTTCAGCGTGTGATATTCTGGCCAGGCAAAACCCCTGAGAAGTAGTACTCCATCGAGGTGCTCGCGAGGACTAAAGCTGGCGTCTGGCTCGAGATACGCTATTAGGGCAGCAACGTCGGCTGCCAAGTGTCCTCGTGGTTTCCAAAATATCTCGCTCCACTACAGTAGACACCAAGTCGTTCTCATCGGTTCCAGTTGCGTTTGTTATTGCCCGGTTGATGCCCCCAACAACTCTTTCGTGCAATGCCCCCGGCAACTTGACAATACGGATGCTGTTGTCGTGACACGAAAGTAGACGCGATCGCAGCCCTTGTCTCTCGGACTGAACGTAGCTTTTATAGTCGTATCGGGTTGCATTGTACAGATCGAATGGAGCCCCGTCGCTGCCGTCTGCAGGACTCGGCAAATGCCTAACTTGGCTCCAATCGAGACGTCGAACGGATTCGTTGATTAGACGCACCGCCATTTTCCTTCTACCTCAACCTTCATTTCTGCGAGGGGTCCCAGACGAGAGATGATTTCGAAATTTTGACATTATACTACAAACGAAAGAGTGCACTACGTCGCTCCGTCCGTTTGGTCTTACCAGCACTGCGGCAAACGGGATATTACCGGGCAGTAGCATGCCATGAGGGGCACGCTAGGAGAACAGTAGCGATCTTTGTGTCACTTGATGGGACATTTCGCAGTCGAAGGCTTTCTGGAAACGGTCTGCTAAAGTAGATCGTTGTCGCTCTCTCTACATTTCTGCTGCCGGGGAGCAAGTCAAAGGCTTTGACTTAAAGCTAATGCAAATGCGGCTTGGGCTTTCAATAAGGATTTAAGGGTGCGGCTTATCTGCTATACAAAATCGGATGCTTTTCAATACAATTTCCATTGGATGGAAATCGATACTTCTGTATGTATTATGCAAAGCATGTGGTATTAGAACTACTATGGTTATCACCACGATGTCGTGAGTCACGCTTCGACTAGAAAAGACGCGCTGTAGCGTTTAGCCCTTCGTGGTGGCACTTGTTAATCAGCGCAGCCAATTGATCCACTTCCAGCAATTCCCTAGCACCATTGTTGAACTCAACCGCCCAGTTATAGACACCTCTTGGCCCAATACAATTTTGCCAATCCACAACTCGGCCAGGTACATTTCTCAACGTGATTTTTACTTCGGTGTCTTCAACTGGAAGTTGTTTGGTCACGTTCCACCCAATTGAAAAAGGATGGTTTTTAAACGAATTGTTTTTCCAGTTTTCCAACTTCGAAGTATCTAGAGTCGTCCTTGCTCAGACAATTTGTTTTTTTTCGCTGACCCCCACTCTGTTTCCGAACAGGCATGTGAGCGGTTGCTGTTTGCAGGTCATATTGCTTCATCAGGGCAAGTGTTGCAATAACATGACTGCAAACCCAGCCAGTAGTCCAAAACCCCTTACAATCACAGCGATATCGTGACCGAACAGCCAGAATCTGTAAGGATAAATTGTTAAAATTATTTTTTGCATCTCAACATTTTACACAATGTTACCTGATCCGACGGTACTGTAGGGGTCAAGCTCAGCTGAAAGTCTGAAGTAGGTGCATCAGGATGTACTAAAACCTCGTGCAATGAGGCTGTAGTAAATCCCGGGCAAAAAACCAATCAACACTCGACAAAGCGGGAGCCACCCCCGCTGGAACTTATAGCCAAGTGTATTGTATCGGGTAAATCGTAGAATGAGTCTCGAGTCTGATGGTAACCAGATCGAGCTAATTATCAGCTTCTTTCTAAGGCGTCCCTCAGAAAGTTCGCTGGGAAAGTTATAAGAAAGATGATATGTAGTTGGCCTGGTTCCTAATATAAAACCCGGGTCGGACCTTACTAGCCCGACTGGGAAGACACGCAGACCCATCGCCTGAAGATGGCAAAGCTGCCAGGCGCCCTTGGGTCGTCTCCGTTGAACTATGAGGGAAACCAAGGTGAAATACCTAGGATTCACTACAGAGGCAAAAGAGAGATTAAAATCAGGAACTTTGGACCTTTTCCGTACTTTTCCTTTTTTCGAGTCGAGATATCTGTATGACATACAAACATTGAAAGTTATGCTGATATATTAAGTTAGATAAATGATGAAAAAAACCTGGAGACTCGGGCATCGGTGACTTCCACTCCACACTGGTTTTTAGGGTAAACAGCGTATTCCCAAGTATTGAAAACAATGGAGCTCAGTTTTGTTGGGGAATCCAAGATGAGGTATTGCTTCCTATGATTTTTTCACGAAAAAACACTCGTGCGTGTTCAACCGAACAGGACCTCAAACAATTTTTAATTTAGTCAAACATATTATGATGAAAAAGTTAAATATTACCTTCGCAGAAATGACCGTATCGGAATATCTTTTTGTCACTGTTCAGCAAAAGGATCGCTGGGAGGGTGTCATTCAAAACGACTGAGGTCGCTGCATGTAGCTGCAGAGTGCACACCGTTTTTATCACTTTGTTGTGGGATTCGATGGGGTTTTGTGACGGCAAAACACCAGGCACAGCAGAAGTAGCAAACCATGTACCCCATAGAGCGCCCAAATACTGGCTTTTGAACCAATCCGCGTACGCTTGTTCGTTTTTGTCGCTCCAATATTTAACTATTCGCTCAGCCATTGCCGTAAATTGTTCTTCGATACGCGCTTGCTCGAGGAGGTATATATTCATCTCGACGTAAGAACTGTAGAATCCAGAGTCATTCAATAGGCCAGCTTTTTCAAACGCTTTTCTGATAAGGTGTGGATAACAATTGAGTATTTTGATACCAGGCCAGATGGAGGAAAAAGCTGTAGCAATGTAGGAAGCATGATCTTGGCTTCCGTACTTTAAAACCAAAGAATCGTTGAAGTAATCAGCGACGAATCGCTTAGCTGTAGAGAATAACGTTTTGTTGGCAAATTCATGCTTCGTACGCACAAACATGTACATCCAAGGTACAAATGAATGTCGGTAACGTTTTCTTTCATACACCGAGCAAGAACTGCCGAGTGCTACCAGAGTCCAGCGATCTTTAATAAACGTGAATACTACTAAACGTGAATAGTAATATACATGGGTTAGCAGCTGTAATAAATATTTTGTAATTATTTAGTAATAACACTTACTGAAATCGATGCGGTAGGTGCCATCGGTAACTCCAGCGAGACCGGTCTCTCTTTGATCACAAATACATCGGTACAGATTTCGAAAAAGACGTCCGTCGTCTCATAAAACGCAGCGACTTTGTTCAGCGGAACGCTTCACCAACCAACCAGAGCGGTAAGAGGCAAACTGGGGCACGAGAGCGAATGGCAGACGTAGTCCGAGGGGTTGATCCATTCGACATGACGTCCATCTTGAAAAAACAAGTCCATCTGCAACACGTTACCTAGTATTGGCATTGCTGTGTTAAGTCTTAAATACTTGGCTGCTTCAGCGATAAATGAGAAATGACGAGTGCTTCTCCATACTTTTTTCCACGATTCTAGGTGGGACTATATTTTTTTCTACCACCTGACAAAGTCTATTTCCCGCCACCCACAATTCAAGCCACTAACAGCGATCCACACAGGATATCATACCACCTAACATAGTCTATTTCCCGACACACACTGTAATTCAAGCCACTAACCGATCCACACAAGATAGCAAAATGGAAGACTGGTTAAATGGCTGCATGGTAGGTGGCAACCAAGTAGCCCCACTGATGATGTTGAATTTCAACATGCTCAGCGCATTTTCATCACTACTCATTTTCCCCGCCCCTAATCACTTAATTTTGCTGACGCTGGCATCATGGCGAACACCAACACTTTCGAGCTGCGCATCGTTCTGGAAAACGAGGCCTACTTTTCATACCAGGACCCCTCTGAAGCGGTTTGAATCTCGTTTGAGGATTGTGGTGGTTGGAATGCTGCCACGTCCATTGCGTGGCGAAATCTCCCAGCTCAGTGGAGTGTCGACTTTTACGAGAGTAGTCACTGCAATAGTGACGAATACTACTACACCGAAAAGGAGGCACGCGACGGCCTGCACACCTTCAAGACTCCACAGGCTATTCGGTCAATCTCCGCTCGACCTCTGTGGGGTTCCTACCCAGCTAATATCGCTCGAAAGTGCGTGCAGCTTCGTCAACCTTTTGAACGGATAGAGTCTTTGCATCTGGACGACGAAACCTCCGTCGGTGTTGGTGACGAAGGCAACCAGACCGAGGGCTCTGGCCAGGACGAGGGTCCATCGTCGAATTGGTTTGAGCCGAATGTGGTGGGAAACGAAGACACAAACGCAGGAAGTGGCGACGAAGAGTGGAAGGTTAACGGCGACTTTTTCATGAGTGGATAAGCTTGTGTAATTATCCTAGCCTCGGTTTCGGATATGTCGATCATTTTATTCGAGTTTTCGAATCATTTCTACCATAAGTTTTATATTTCCTTAATATTTCCTCCATCTATAATAACAAACAGTTCTCCACTCAAAATATGTCATACAGTAGTAATTGCCTGTCATCGAACAGAATAGCGATTCTGCTATGATAGCAGCGGTATTTTGGTAGAGACTCTAGCCAGGTGTATTCCTACTACTATTATAGTATCAAGGTACAGTAGCCATTGCGACGGAAGCTCTCACCCCAGTCACCAACAAGCTCGGGATCGATATTATTACTCTAGGTCGATGAGGGGCTTGAGCCGGCAGATTACCCCTCTCAGCATGATTTTTGCAGCTCCAAGCTGCAACGAGGTGTGGGCATGAGATATGGACATCCTGCCTTCCATATATATCGAATCGGCTCAACCACTTAGGTGCAACCAAATTTGAAAGAGGTACCGACTAAGGTCTTTCTCTACTGCAATGATAAACTGGTCTGACAGCGCACTATGGACGAGAGGCCAATTTCTAGTACGCCTGTCAACTTGGAAATTACCTTGAGCGGAGTCAGTAAAGTGCTGATACAGTTATTGCTGAGATATGATTAAACATACTTAAAAAAATGCTCGACATTATTAAGATGTAGCATGGCTGTCGGAGCGAGTAAAATCATCAGACTTGCAGAGGAGCTATACAGCCTAACAAATATACAGCGTAACATATACACTGGATTACAAATACAATGGACTTGTCACGTTGCGTAAACTCCTTTTTGGGTGAAGCATGTTCCACCAACACTACTGGATGGCTACTCGTATTTCAGCGCTACGTTTAACAAGGTTGCTTCGAACGAGAATGTCGAGGAATGGTGCAGGCTACCGCACGATAAACCGTAGCTGAAACTGACCTACTCCCCATACGCGGGTCAATTTAAACCCGTTCGGCCCACATCTCTAACTTGGGCGTCGACTAAGAATACAAAATCACAACTTCCTTTCAATCGGTAGCCAGTACTGGAAGCCTGCCTCGCGTTTTCTAACATCCCGCACGGGTCTACGGATCCGCTCGCAGCCTATAAAGTGGACGAGCTCTTCTTCTCAATTGGTGATATTTTTCTAAGATCTCTGTGTGGCGCGCGGTAAAGCAACCCAAAAGGCACCAGAGCTTGTCCAGAGCCATTGTCAAAATTACTCGAGTCGCCTTACCGAAACCGATGGTAATCAATTTCCTAAAACAAAATTCGCCAGAACTTATTTTAATTTTTAACGCGGTGAAAGCGCTCCGGAAAGTCCTCATGCGAAATGCTCGAGTCTGAAGGATACCAGTAGGTGTACTTGAATTTAAATTCACTTTGTAAACTCTACACACGTCACAAAAAAACAGTTTGTGGCACGTGTTTCTCAATTAGATTTCAGGGTGTTGAACATGATCTTTATAGGGGTGGCAGGTGGCCACTATATCACTAGAATTAATTCAAGTATATTTATCACTACAGTACTTTGCCTGGAGATCACGCAAGGCAGTGCTGTCTTTTGACTGCAAACGAAGTGTAACCCACGCCGTGAAGACATGGTACATGTTTTCATTTCTCATTTCGCGCAGACAGCATGGCACTAAACGTGAATATTCCGTCGACGAATGGTCTTCACGTGGAATTTACTGCCGGCTGGCAGTGCTTCAAGGTCTACGGTTGCAGTTGGTGGAAGCCTGCAACTGGGGTCTTCTGGTCACGGCTACTCCCCAACACCTTCGCCGGCTTCTATGACTCGACAACATGCTATGCGGGTGGCAAACCTAAAGGTCGTGTCTACTACACGAGACAGGGGATGACCGAGGGTGAACATGCGTTTAAAACACCAATGCCTATCCGATCAATGATGATCGGGTTCAACCGAAACTACACGCGTCGACCCTTCAGTTATCGGCCTATTACAGACACTGTCGCCTTTCTCGATACCGACTATGAAACGGCGGGTGATGGCGACGAACTCCGACAGAACTTTTGGAACGACAATGATAGTTCGGCAGACTGTGGGTGGTCGTCCAACTGGACTACCCCTCTTTCGGAAGAAACCATACCCTGAAGTGGCGGATTCCGGAATGATCAACCCTGCTTGTACCAGTTTGCTAGGCATAGCATTTTTAACGTACGTCGATCATGCGTAAAATTTTGCTA